TGAGAGCTACGCTTGGGGTTGATTAATGATTGTGCATTGAGTCCCCCATACAGAATTTTATTGTTGTTAACAACCATTTGATCAATAAATATGAGAGATGCCCTCTCAAAAAAAAAAAAATCAGGACATTTCATGTGAAAATATGATTTCTGACATCTTCTAAAAGGTCGAAGAGCTGGCAACACTGGTCCCCACACACCAAAATGACAATGATGGAGTGTGTGTGTGTGTGTGTGTGTGTGTGTGTGTGTGTGTAAGGGGGACTCTGGTTTATCAGCCCCACCCACCCTGCCCCACTCTGACCAGTTGGGCATTTGAATTTACCCTTTGCTCCAAGACCACGATTCTCTCATCTCTTATTTCAAAAGTAATAAAATTTGAACTTGCTGCCATTTCAGATTGGATTTATGTATTCTTTACGTATAGATTTATATCAGATTTAGTTATGGTAAATACAATCAAAATAAATAATAAACCTGAAAACACAAGTCCAAATTATTATGAGACTTACACTTTTCCTTCAAATTCAGAATACTGCCACTAGACTCCAAAGTTAATTTCCCCCTGTACCATTTTCCTTTGATGGAGGACCACTCTGTGGCCCCATTTACCTTTTGCAGAGTACATTCTGCTTTTAACTCTCCTGTATAAAATACTTCATAAACAGAGTGTGGCGATAGCCACCATGCCCACTGTCCCGAGGCCCTACCTTCCTCCTGTGGTGACAGCAGCCTGATTCCATGATGCTTCCTGGAGGAACCATCTCTTGCCAACCCTCCAGATATGGGCCCAGGACCCAGGCTGGGCCAATGGAAGTCAGCTCTGAGGCTTTGGCTGTGTCCAATGGGGATGACAGGTTCCCTTCTGGGTGACTTGTCACTGTGACAGGATGTGCACTGGATTTTTGCTGGAGGCCTTGCCACCACCGGGGGTAATTTGCCTAAGAGCAAAGCTAGAAATGGAGATTCTAGGCTGTGCTGTAAAACCAGAAGCCGCTAGCTCTGTGTGGCTATTCAAATCTAAATTACAGAAAACTGAAAATTCAGTTCCTCAGTGGCATTAGCCACAACTGAAATACAGAGTAGCCACATGTGTGCTAATGACTATGGTTTGGAGTGAGAAAATACTGGACATTCCCTTCATTACAGAAGTTCTACCAGACGGACTGGTAAGCAGTACCCATGCCAAAGTACTAGTCCTGATTTTTCAGCTATGTGAACCAATAAGATCTCTTTTTTATTTAAGCAATTGGAGCTGGGTTTATTTATAATCCAAGGACTCCCAAGGCAGGAGCCTCCAATCAGCCCTCTCAGGAGCACACCCTGGGGCTTGATTTGGGTTTCATTTGTGTTTCTGCATTCAGGTCGCAGCACAGAAAGTCATCCCTGGGTTCAGAAATGTACTTAAGCAAATGACACTCAAGAATACTCATGCCATTTCACCATTTTCTATTGCTTCTTACATTAGAAAACAATCGAAAACGTAGAACAAATGGATGTTGAAAGCAGATGTCTTTCTTAAGTATCCATTCATGGTTAGCAGCATAATAATTAGAAAATCACAGACAACACCTAAGAATGCAAGAACAGTTTTCCCCCATTAGAAAGTGCTTCAATATCAACAGTATCAACATAAACTCACGATATACCTCCTGACATGGTACAGTGAGGATATAACATCATACATGGAGTATTCTTGCCAAAAACGAGTAACTTGAATCTGAGGACACAGACAAACCCAAATTGAGGGACAATTTACAAAACGATTTGTCTTTACTTCAAAAGTGTTAATATTACAAAAGACAAAGAAAAGCTGAGGAACTGTTTCAGAGTAAACAACCAAAGAGACATGACGCCTAAATGCAATGGATGATTCTGGATTGGAGGGAAATTTTTCTGCAAAAGACATTATGGGGACAATTGGTGAGATTCTAGCATGGTTTATATATTAGATAACACTATATCAATGTTAAATTTTTTTAATTTGATAACTGTAGTTGTATATGGGAATGTATGAGAGAATGTTCTTGTCCTTGGGTAATATGTACTTGTTTTTAGGGGTTAAGGGACCAAGATCTCTGCAGCCAATTCTCAAATGTTTCAGGAAAAAATATACAGACATAAAGCAAATGAAGGTATAATCTGGGTGAAAGGTAAAAGCTGTACTTTTCATGCAGCTCTTCTTTAGGCCTAAAATTATTTCAAAATAAAAAGTGAAGCAAGCAATACAATGCTCCCACCCACTCTTAGGAGAAAAAAATACTAGCATCTACGGCAGATCTCTCAAGTAAAAAGTAAAGAAAGGGCTTCAGAAGTGTTTTTCAAATGGCGCATCCAGAAATTGTTTGGGGATGTCCCAATAAACATTTTAAGAAATGGAATAGAAAACCAGGGCTTTTTCATGTAATAAAGTTTCACAAAGTGAAATTATACATACATGTGTATACACATGTATGTATGTATGTATGTATACGTATGTAGGTATGTGTACTGGACCTTAATATTCAATGCATTTCTTACTGTGGGTTGCAGTTTTTAAAAAATGTTTGAAAGCCATTACATGCCTTAATAGGGTGACTCACATTACAATTTACCTGAGGCAATCGGTTTGTGCCTGTTGACCTGACATAATTATTAGCAAACTCATTCACTCTCAAATGTCCCTATTTGGATGATAAATTATAGTCACTCTTATTTTAAGCCACTTTAATACTTTTTAATAACAAAAATATAGTATGGATAAGTATGCTTGGTGGCCAAAAAGGACTCTATAGCCTTTTTTTCTTTTAAGAATGGATTTACATATTATTTGTGTGATTGAAAAAAAAGATTCGATTATCTTTTACTAATACTATATTAAATAACTTATATAGGCATCCCTTGAAATTACAATGAACTAGAAAATAATGGTTTTCGATTATATGAAGAACACTGGTTTTGGACTAAAATATTTCCAGAGAGCATTTTCAAATGGGAAAACACCTGACTACACCTTGCAAATAAAATACCAGTTCTGGATTGTTTATAATTCATAATGCATGATCAAAACCAAAAATTTCTGTGATGACTGCCCTTGTCCTGTTCACCATGTAACTTATTCACTATGTAAGAATTTGTTCTCCATTTAAGAACTTGTTTGTTATGCTTCAGAAGATTGGAGACTGACGAGAATTAGGCTTGGGGTGGATTAATGATTGTGCATTGAGCATTGAGTCCCCTATACAGAATTTTATTGTTGTTAACAACCATTTGATCAATAAATAGGAGAGATGCCCTCACACACACACACAAAAAAAGTACACACTTCCGATTGTAAAATAAATAAGTAACCGGGATGTAATGTATAGCATAAGAAATATAGTCAAAATATTGTACAACTTGGTATGGTGATAGCTGGTACCTAGAATTATCATGTATATAAATGCTCAATCACTGTGTTGTACGCCTGAAACTAATGTAATATCGTGTGTCAACTACCCTTCAATAAAAAATAATTATCTACAAAAAGAAAATACCAGTTGTTGAATTTTAATATTAATTTATAAAATACACATCAAGTGCTATAAAGTAACTGGGTAAACAAACTAGCTTTGAAAAAATGATCTATCTAAATCTTATGTGTTTTTAGGAAAGAACTTTCTAACAGATTCCTTTATATTTATCTTCTGGTTGCTAGACATTCGCCCCGCTAAGCCCCTGAGCACTTAAGCAGCATACAAGTGATCTTACTCTAGCTAGGAGGTGCAACTAGTCTGTGCTTTACCCTACAGGAAACAGCCATTACTAAGTGGTATGTTGTCACAAATAGCAAGGTCAAGACTTTCCATGTCTTATAAGGCACTGCTAAACCTCTGCGTAGGGGAGTTCGGCTGCCAAGGCACTGACATACACATCTTAAAGCTTCATCACCCACAACTAAACCTTTCACCAATCTAAGAGATGGGAAAATCAACCAACCAGTTACTGCTTACCATTCATTCAGGCACCTTAAAACACACAACCAGAACAGAGGGGAACTTTCCTTGTTAAGTTTTTATGACCTTACGATGTTTCCTCAAAATCAGATTTCTTTACCTAGAACTGGAAACTTGGCAGCAGCAGCGATTTAAGATACGAACAGCACTGGGGTCACATTTTGGGGATGAAAGGGATGTTTTAGTTCCACACCATTTTTTCATGGACCCTGAAACCCAGAGATGAATATCAGCTATTGAATGTAGCACAATCTGTACTCATCAATGATGTGAAGAGTTCCATGTGCATGCTGTTGAATTTTTACTCAGAATTTTCAATCTTGTCTTTAAATTAGAGGAAAGAATTGGCAGTTAGTACAGACACCAACTAAGCCAATGACAGGGTGACTAATTTGGGATTAGAAACAGCTTCCTAAGAGGTCTGTTTTATCCTAGCCTTTTTTTACATAGTTCAGGACAAACTGAATTCAATCAACATAGGCAATACCATTTGGGTAGCAATAAAAAATGTAACTAAGTGAATTTTAATTTCAGAAGATAAAGCTGTTACATTACAAACTAACTTTGTCTTGTTTCAAATCATCATAAACAATGTAAATGATAACTCTGGATCGATATCAAGCATCATCTCCCACATTAAACATACAACCTTAAAATACTATCTTCCAGTTCTTAGCCATTTGCTTACAGTTACAGTAAATGTACATATAATTTGGTGTTTGTCTTTTAAAAATTGTTTAAGATAAGGAAGTCAGACTCTTGTTACAACTTAGCAATTTTCTTCCAATCGATTTTATACAAGGGATACTTGGTAAATATTTGTTGGCAATTTTTCATATATTGGCAAGCCAAGAAAGTAGCCTTTATACAAGTCTATCTTTATTTGTAAAAAATAATACACAACTAAAGCTAATTTGATTTTTAAAATCAAAGTTCATTTAGTGATAATGTACATTTTATAATAAAATTGTAGTAAAATACTGACATTTGATAGTTTAAACAAAGTATCATTCATGTAAAAATCATGTTGTCACATGTAAAATTTAATTAGAAAATTCATAGTTCACAAAAGTACATAATATTTTGTTGATAGCTCATGAGAACATTATCATAAATTTAAGATACAGAAATTCACAGTTAGGCTTGACATTCAGTACCATAAAATTTTATGCTGAATACACTGGTATTTTTGATAAGGTACACTTGAAATAACTGATTCAGACTAACAATGAATTGACATTCTATTGTATAACCAAGATCTATTGGTTTTATAATGTCTAGTAATCAATTATTTCACCAATAATTTAAATGAGAAATCTAGTTGAAAACACCACTGACATTACACTTTTGCAGGGTAATTAAAATAAAAAGCATTAGCAGCTCTGATTTCCATTTTCATGAATACATACAAATCTGTATTTTACAGTTAAAATTTGTACAAAAAGTCAAGCCCTGAAGTATTTTTCCCCTAAGAGGAAAGTTCTGATGTTAAAACTTTGTTAAAAATAAAAGAGAGAGAGGTAGTGTGTGAAAAGTATTTGTACTTAAAATGTTGAACCCCTGCACCGCTTATAATATAAATGAATTTTTACTTTCTACATGTTAATATTATTGTCATTCAAGAGTCAAATTTATAGAACTCACAGAATGTTAAAGCTGGAATGCCATTAAAATAATTGTAGTATCTAAGTGGAAGAACTTTGGAGAATTCAACAGAAAGCACATTGTGTTACATAATGTTGTGCAGTTAATAGTTTAGTGATAATATGCTTAGTGGTAATGTGAACAAAATACATTAAAGTATTCTGAGTCGTGATCTTCACTGAATCAAGATTGTACTTCATATATTTTTACCATATAGAGAAAATATCCTTCAAAACGGAGTCATTTAATTCTTCATTGTTTTAACAGCACATATTGTTATATAAAGGTATCTGTACTAGCCCTACCATAAAATTAATCAATAAATAACTCTGAGAGAAACATCCATAAGCCATAGGGAACTTATGGACTCACTAGCTTCTTAGTTTCTATACACAAGCATACTGTAGTGCCTGGGCCCACAATGAGATCAGGCAAGAATGAAAGTCAGCAGCCTTACTCTTAGCTTGGTCTAAGTGGATGCACTGGAAAGTAATAAATAGCCTCAGAAAATTACTAGCAATAAATCCTACCTGTCAAAGGTGAACACTATATATTTTTCATAAAGTGTAAGCAGTGTTCCTAGAAATCCCATTAAGGAAAACCCAAGTTTTTCATATAAAAAGTGCACAAGTGTGTCCTGTGTGTAAAAATCTCTTAATTTGGGTGCGTTTCTTATCCAACATGATTCACACTACTCGAATACGTTAAAAGAGTAGAAGAAGCACACAAATAAAACACACAAACAAAAGCAATGATTTCCAGTGAGGTTGAGACTGGGAATGAATGAGAAGAGGTTAAGGGAGGGGAGTCTCCCATATTACTGGAGTTGATGGAATTGCCTTTTACAACATAACTTACACTCAAATAGAGTGACTGTGTAAATATGAAAGCTATAGGATGGACAAACATGAACCTGGGCAGCTGTTACAGTTTCTTAAGTCCAGAATATAGCTCAATGCTTTATAACATAAGAAGCAATTTTCTAAAAATAGTCAACTGGCTCGAACTCTTAGAAATGAGGGGGAAAAAAGCATTTGAAAAAATTGTTACAATTAGCAACAGGAGAATAACAATTAAGAAATCAAAATAAAATATGGAACATAGGAGCTGAGATCCCCAGGGTACAAGATAGAATCAGACTTCTTCACAGTAGAATTTTTAAAAATACAGTGAAAAGAACAATTAACTGGGCTCTGCACAGCAGGTCAAATATGCAACCACTTCAAACAGAAATGATCTAGTCCTCTCATACAGCGCTGAGAATGTGCTCTAACATCTAGTTCTCTAGAGACAAAATAGCAAAAGCATGGAACTTCATTAGCAAAGGCCCCTTTTAGACTTAAATCCACCTCTGACCCACCAAGGTGTATATTAACAATTATCAATTACTATTATAATAACATTTTAAGCTTCAATATTATTTTTCTCATGCCTATTCCAAGTCCCTGGCTCAGAGGTATATATGCTTTAAACTAGCCACATTTACAAGTCCCGGTCACATCCTTCACTCAGAACAGTTCAAACAATGGTTTCATAGTGTTATGATTGTTCCATCTTCTTCTAAGAGTTTCTGATCTGGAGCATGCATTTCAAATTCTGTATTTGTGCCACTTGCTTTGGGTGCTAAGATCACTTCATTAGAAGGAATGAAACCATTTTGTCCAGACTCAAAATTGAGTTCTATCTGTGTTAGTGATTCCAGGCTCTCAGTATTACGAACAGCTTTAGGAATCTGCTGTGGCACTCCATTGTCTTCAATAATAATGTCATCTTCATCACTGTCTTCATCCTCTGGCTCAAAGCTGGGCTCCATCTGCTGTGGATAGCCAACCAGGCTGTTATCAGTAGACTGGCCAGAGCTGCCAGAAGTCCGGCTGGTCCTAACAATGTTATTCCTCTGGTTTGCTGGTCTCACAGTTATGATGAGGTTGCGGCTGTTTGCAATCATCATATCTGTTACTTGATCAAGACTCTTTCCTGACACTTCTATGCCATTAACTTCTAAAACTTCATCATTAACAGCTAATAGTCCTGTGCTTTGAGCCAGACCTCCTGGGACAAGTCTGGATATAAAGATCCCTGGGACCTTCTCTAAGCCATGTGGCGTTACCCTCACACTGGAGCCATCCCGGATGTAGAATCCTAGGGGTTTCTCAGTGCCATATTTGTAAAGACGAACCCTACGATGGGTTTCTGGGAGAATATCCACATCTATAATAGAAGACACAGGTCTGAAGTCCTGGGGCATACTAATGACTATATGTGGCTTTTTTCTATGGTTGTCAGGGCGCAACACATTGGTTAAAACATTCTTCTTCTTTATTAGTGTGTCTGTACCAAAGGCACTGTAGTCTGCTTCTTCTGTTTAAAAATAAAATAAAATTATTATAGAAATGCTTTAAACACCCATTTATGTACAGCTGAATCTATACAGAAAGGATAACTCAAATGTATTTGGTACATGAACAAACTAGTTAATTATCTTATTTCTATCAGATCAAAATGTAGTGCAGGAGCAAGACACGCTATACCAAAAACATCCCACTAGGTGGCCCTCTCAAGCGCACATCGTAACACCACTAAATGTTGAAGTTAAAATTTGATAAAGCTCAGTGATGACTAAACAACATTAATGAATTTCTGAGAAGTCTTATAAACACGTTCTTAAATTTCATTCTGGCAAATGAAAATCTGATCAGTCTTACAAACACATTCTTAAACATAATTTTAAACAAGTTGCTTAAAATGTATTTTCCCTTCATTTGTTTAAAAAACCTCCAATTTGCATTTATCGAGTATCATAATTCTTCCAAGTGGTAAAGATACCTCAAGACAAATGCTGGGCATAAAAGCCACAGGGCATAAATCTGTAAAGAAGTAAAAAGCTAACCTTTTCAAACAATATTGCTTCTCTCTCACTTACCAACTTTACATTTCCCTGTATGGCCCCGGAAGATGACTGGTTAGCCAGAGACGGGTAAGATTCCTCAAGGGAGGAACAACCTAAGACAGGCACAGTCGCAGGGGGGCCATCAGGTGAGAA